TAGATGATAAATTAAACTGGAAGTCTCATATAAATCATATACATAACAAAATTTCAAGAAGTGTTTCATTTTTGAGTAAAGTAAAACACATTCAAACTGTTTTCTAAAAGAGAACGGGGATACAATTTGAGGGGGGAATTAAATTTAAAACATCCTTGTGTCCGTACAACATTAAAAAGTTTTTGCATCTCTGTGTGTGGAGTGAAGCTGTGGAACAGACTAAGTAAAGATATGAAGCAATGTCCGAGCATGGCGCAGTTTAAACAGCGGTTTAAGGATATGGTTTTTGCAGGATACAGGGAGGAGGTAGAGATTTGATAGGGTGTCCTTGTCCAATATTTTCATGTGTGTGCGGTTGCACGGGCATGCTGGTATGGGTATATATATCTGTAGGTTGTGTATCCTTTGAGGTCTTACTGGGGTTATTGAAAATGTGTATATGTGAGTATGTGTGTATATATATATATAATAAATAAAATAAAAAAAACACAAACACACATAACATATAATATAATTGCAAGGAGGTATTTCTGTAGTCTATTGATTTATTGATTACTAGATAAGGGGTGGGATTAAATAAGCTTATGCTTCTTCCTGCTCCTTTTTGAACATGACAGTTATTTGTAGATGTTGCTCGTTTTCCTTTTGTTTTGCTTTGTTTGTTTGTCTCTTTTTAATTCTATGTTGTTGTACTTTTTCAACATGTTCAAAATAAAGATTCAATCAATCAATCAATCAATCAATCAATCAATCAATCAATCGTCGTAGCAGCTACCTCTGCTTACCACAAACACACTTCTCTGCTACGTTGTGTCTGTCAGTACCCACACAGCGGATATATGTGCGCAATACGTGTTTCTGGGAAATCAGGCGGTTAACTGTCAGAGGAAGTGAACTACCGACGTTTATGCAGAGAAGAAAGCAGCGATGGCTGAATCAACCGAGCACGTTGAGGGAGGAAATTTGTCTCCCATTTCCCCCCTCAACGAGGACACTGAGGACGAGGACGTTGGGGGGGCAAATACGACTCCTATGTGTCCCCCCAACGAGGACGTTAAGGACGAGGATGTTGAGAGCGCAAAAACGACTTGTAATTGCCCGCCCAAAGTTCCCTGCATATTAGTTGTTGTTGTAGGTGCAGTTTTTCTAATTGTAGGTGCTCTAGCAGCTGGTCTACCAGCTGGTTTTATTGGTTTTTGGAAGGGTAAAAGTGAGTGTGTCAAGGACCCCAGTGCTAATTGCCCTTTTTCAAAAGCTGCTGTGGCCGCAGACTCCGAGAAATGTTCACGGATTGGACGGTGAGTAACATTTTAAACTTCTGACACATTTTTGTTTTTCACATAATATTACGCACCAAATGCAAACTTTAGCGCTAAAACATCTTTGAGAACTACGTAACCCGCGTCTCATCCTGGAAGTGTGTGGTTATGTTCCCCCCCCATCTATTTACAAAATAACTACTCCTAACTAAATTTCTACTTCTTTACGAAACCAATATGCCATTATATAAAAGGCAAAATTCCACGTGATTCTGTATAATACAGATCAATGAAAAATCTTCTTTCCCTACTAAATGATTTATTGGTCAAAAATGGAGAAAAAGCTTTAACGTAGAAACTATGATTCTTACAGATGTGTGTGTATTGTCAACAGAAAGTACGGTATAGAGATTAAAAATATCATGCCACATTTGACCTCTGACCTCTTCTTCGAGGTCAATAGATTGATCTGAAGGTCATAATGCTAGTAATGCTATTTAGAACTATTTAAACGTATGTTTCTTTCTAGTGATGGGAATTCAAACTCTTTTAAGAGAGCTGGTTCTTATGGCTCAACTCACTGAAAAGAGTCCTCTTTGGCTCCCAAGCCGGTTGTCAAATTTTCTTTTTCTGAAAATAACTTATTAACAAAAATAAAGTAAAATCATGTGTAAAAAGAAATTAGTATATCAAATGGTTTATGGCTTTATGGCTTATTTTTTTCAACAAGTAACAAAAAGAAGTTTTAAGGAACAAAAACAAATACCCATCTCTGATTGCATGTATAATATTTATAAAATGTAAACTATTTGCAGTCAAACGATGGACAGTTACACAACAAAATATACCTTAAAATATGCTAAGCAAAAATTT